CCCCCTTATTTCTCTCTCACCCCCTTATTTCTCTCTCTCACCTCCCCCCCCTTCTTTCTCCCCCTCCCCCCTACCTCCCTGTAGCGTGGCCGAGCCCTGTATAGTCCGCGGGTACAGGGAGCTTTTGTTTCCTGTACCTGGCCGGACTAACAGGAAGTGCACACTCAGTGTGCACTTCCTGTTAGTCCGGCCGGGTACAGGAGACAGCTGCTCTCTGTACCCGTCGGACCATGCTGCAGTGAGGGAACTGACAGGAGCGTTCCCTCCTGTCAGCCTCTCCTCAGGCTGCGCCCGGGCGGTGCGGTCCGCCCTCATGGATGCACCGCCCGGGCAAAGCTGCAGCCGCCTGAGGCTCTTCACAGAGCGCTCGGGCGGCTGCAGCATGGGGGGGGGCGGCGGGGCTGGTCATGGCACCCCCCACCCTGCTGGCACCCGGGGCGGACCGCCCCCCCCACCCCCCGTTAGTACGCCACTGCATGGTATTCATACATAACATTGTTTAAACAGTTAACATTTGACAGTAGACATGTGCAATTCGTTTCGGTCCGAATGTGAATTCGGACGAATCGTTGCTGAATTGTCGAAATTCCGAAATTACCGAATTTCCAAAGTTCTGAAGTGCCGAAGTTCCGAAGTGTTGAAGTGCCGAAGTTCTGAAGCACAGTATTGCCTAAGAACGAATATACCTACACAGTGGAAGAATGAAGAATGTTACACTGTATACAATTTTAAATAAAAAATATACAAACATAGCCAGGATTCAGCTGTAAGCATTTGCAACACTTACAACAATCAAGTAACATACATTCATATAAAATGTAAGTTACTTGGCCAGTCAATGCAATGACAGGAATGAATAAGTAGATAACTCCCTAATTCCCACGGTATTAGGGAGCTATCTACTAAAAGGCTGAAAGACCTAAATTGGTCTTTCAGCCAAATCTACTAATACTAAGTAAAGATTACTTAGTATTAGTAAATTATGCCCCTACTCGCTATACCGCCTATGGCTGCTCACTTTAAAAAAAAAAAAAAAGGTCCACCCCCTCCCGTGCCGCGCGAGTGGGGGCTTCTAACCTGAAGGGGGGACCTATTGCCCCCCCCCAGCCCTCACCCCTGAATGGCGAGTGGGGGCCCTACAGTAAAATAAGGGGGGGACCTAATGTCCTCCCCCTGGTACCCTCCCCTGAACGGTGGGTGTGGGCCCTAAATACTAATAAGGGGGGGGGGAACCTAATGTCCTCCCCTTTGGCCCCCACCCCTGAGAAGTGGGTGGGGGCCCTAAATACTAATAAGGGGGGGACCTAATGTCCTCCCCCCTGGCCCCCACCCCTGAGCTGTGGGTGGGGGCCCTAAATACTAATAAGGGGGAGACCTAATGTCCTCCCCTCTGGCCCCCACCCCTGAGCGGTGGGTGGGGGTCCTAAATACTAATAAGGGGGGACCTTATGTCCTCCCCTCTGGCCCCCACCCCTGAGCGGCGGGTGGGGGGCCCTAAATAAAAATGTTACCCCCCAGGTGACTAGGGATCCCCAAACCCCTAGTCACCCCCTTCCCCATAAAAACTAACCCCTACCTACCCTCCTCACCCTAAAAATAATGAGGGGGGCCATTAACTAAGTACCTGTAAAAAAATAAATAAAACTTACCATTTGATGTTTTCTTTCTTCTAAAATCTTCTTTTTTCAGCCCCAAAAAAGGGCAAATAAAAAAATCCATAATAACCGACGCACTTTAAAAAAAAAAAAAAAAAAAAAACGAGCGCAAAAAACCCATCTTCACCCATGGAGGGCTCCGCGCAGGCTTATAAGCCTTCCCCCGCCCTGCAATTAGGCTCAGAGCACTCTGATTGGTGGGTTTAAGCCATCCAATCACAGTGCTCTGACAGGTAAATGAAGAGACTGACAGGTAAGTCTCTACATTTACCTGTCACAGCACTCTGATTGGTTGGCTTGAAATCCACCAATCAGAGTGCTCTGTGTCATTTTACACAGCGTGGGAAAGTTCTTTGGAATTATCCCACGCTGTGTAATTTGACTCATAACACTCTGATTGGTGAATTGGTGTGTCATTTGAAAGATCTCTTTCTGAATTAGTTTTATAGCTGAAATAAGAGGCGACATACATGTAAAGTTTCACTGTGTTACCACGGGATTAGTAGCCACAATGCTCTGCTGAATATGCAAATTAAATTAAACATATTTCTACAGTCTCTGTTTTCAATGACATGCTAATTTAAAACATACCTTTTAATACCAGCACATTGGTCATGATCCAGATGGACAAATAACCAATAATGGACTGCATAGTTTCATCCACTTGTGACTTTTCATCATGGCATAGTGCTGGTCCAGTGGTGGAAATCTATCTTGTTGTTTACAGCTAAGTATTTTATATATGAATAGATAAAGTGGAATATACATATATATATATATATTTTAATGAGATTTTCCATTCTCTTTCTCTCTCTCTCTCTCTCTCTCTCTAAATATATATATATATATATATATATATAAGTAGAGATTGTAGCCGTATAAAAAAGGTATTACAAGATAAGAATTTTATCTGTTTTTTTACATCTATATATATATATATATATAAATATATATATATATATATATATTTAAAGAGAGAGAGAGAAAGAGAATGGAAAATCTCATTAAAAAAACCTGAGAAATCATGTATCCACAATTATCCCAAAGTTCTCACAGGCAAATGAGCATGACAGGCTGTAAGGAAATCTAATGACTCTCTTGCATCAATTCAGCCATAATCCATAGCAAACGATTCTAGACCCAAAAATTTTGCAACCATGTCAATTTAATCTTGCCCTGATTCTGATCCAACCGCATCTACACCATCACTAGGAATGAGCACCAGATTGCATAAAGATGCACCCCGTCAACTTTTGGTACTTAGCCACGTCAATTTGGACGGAACGTTATTTTCACCAAGTCACACTCATGTCATTCTGAAACAACCTGTGATTCGGTTCCCTGGGGCTGGTTCCTTGTAGAGCCAGGGTGTCCCTTGTAGAGCCAGGGGGTTTGGAGTGGGGACTGTATGGGGTTTAGTATGTACGGGCAAAGAGTGAGAGGTGATGGGAGTACCCTAGGGCGTTCTCCGTGTGCGAGTCTCCAGCCCAGGCTCCTTGTAGGCCAATGGTCGTGACCTGTACTGAAGCCCTAGGGTGTCTACGTTGGGTGGGTGTCTCTTGGTTTGTTCTGCTATTTTGAAGTTTTGGTCTCTCTCTTTGCTGGGAGGTGTGCCAGTATGCTTTGTACTGTTTGGTCTTGCAATTGTCTGGTGCTCGGTTTCAGGTTTCATTGGGTAGGTGAGAATAAGATGGGTAAGTGGAAAAAAGGGATAAGCAGTGGAGATTGTTAAGGATAGGAAATTGGGAGGTGTTTGGTCTCTCCCTCCCCTTCCCCCAGTGTGTGGGCATTTAATCTGCTAAGGGTATGAGGTGGTGTCTATGGACCTGTTGTGGTTGTCGGATGTGGGTATTCCTTATTGGAGTCGTGGCTCGTTGAGCCAGGGGTCCCAAATTTTATAGATATGTTTGGAGGTTTTGTGTATTTTTGCTGAGATTATATGCATTTCCATTGCTTCCTTTGTTTTGCGACTGTCTGTATTGTGACTGTCTGTATTGTGGGAATGTTTGGTGAGCCACAGAGCTCTGCTTGTCATGCTGCCAGGGCTGTTCTGTTTGTCAGTTTGCTTTGGGCTCTGGTTAATGGGTCCCAGGGTTTGGAGAGGAGCCAAATCCACGGGTCAAGTGGGATGGTCATTTGTAGGAGGTTAGGTGGGTGTAAGAATATCCTGAAATGTTTTATAATAGATGCCAGAGTATCCATCCGGACCCGGGCTTTTGTTGGGTTTCATATTGCCTATTGGTCCTGCCACTTCTTCATCAGTGATTTCTGCAGATAGGTGTGCGGTTGCTTTGTCAGAGAGTGAGGGTAGATGTATCTTGTCAGGAAAGGAGTGTATTCAGGTTTGCAAATCAGTGCCTAGTTGGCTATCATGTTGCGAGTGATCATAAAGGTCAGCAAAGTACAACTGAAATACCTCTGCAATTTTGGTTGGGATATCAGTGGGTTGTCCCGTGTGGGTATGAATGTTGGTGATTCATTTGGCTAGGGTGCGTTTGCGCAGTCTGTGGGCTAGGAGTGTGTCCGCTTTATGAGATTTCTCGTAAAGCATTTGTTTTGTCCATTGTAAGGCTTTTGTTGCGTCTGTAGCCATAGCCCATTTAAGAGCTTGCCGTTGTGCTTGGAGCTGTGTGCTGAGGTCCTGTGTGGGGGTCTGTTTATGTTTGGACTCTAGTTGTCTAATCGTAATGTTTCTATGTGTTCGAGTTGCTTCTTTTTTTGTTCGGTGGCTATGCTTATGAGGGATCCCCTGATCACTGCCTTGTGGGCTGCCCACAGGACTGCATGTGATTGGACTGAATTTGTATTCATAGTGAATTAGTTTGTGAGTTCCGTTTTGAGCTGTTGTATTGTTTGCGGATCATGGAGTAGGATGGGGTTCAGTCTCCATGACCAGGGCCGTGAAATTTATGGCAGTTGGAACCCTAAGGAGATGTTGGCGTGGTCCGACCACATGATATTACTGATTGTGGTTGTGTGGGGGAGGAGGCCAGGGGATATAAGGAAGTAGTCTATGCAGGAGTAGGTGTGATGCGGATGCAAATAAAATGTGTAGTCTCATGTTGTGGGGTGGTGCAGTCTCCAAATATTCAGTAGTTCCGTTTCAGACACAAAGTCATCCATGAGTTCGTCTGATCTGGAGGGTTGAGGCGGTGGCTGAGGCTGAGGGTGATGTCTCTGCCTATCTACGGTTGGGGAGAGTTCTGCATTAAAGTCCCCACCTATGATTCTGTGGTGTGTTGGGTATAGGCTAAGATGTGCTTGTAGGGTGGGCCAGAATTGTAGATCTGCATGTGTGGGTGCGTAGAGGGATGCGAATGCAAATTTGGTCGGGCCAATAGTTCCTGCTATCGTAAGGTATCGCCCTTGAGGGTCTTTGTATATAAATTGTTAGCCTGGAGAGGGCAGGTTTTTTGTATCAGTATTGCTAACCCATTGTGCTTCCCCAGTGCCGGCTTAGGAGAGGGAACAGGCGTGTGTCTGTGTAGTGTGTCTCTTGTAGGAAGATTAAATCCGATTTTGTGAGGTTGGCCCAACGCATTAGTTGGTGGCGTTTTGAGGGGTTGTTGAGTCCCTTGCAGTTGATCAAAGTGCAGGTTAGAGTAGCAGACATTGTGGTGGGTATGGATGGATTGCATTTGTGGACAGAGGGAGAGAGACCAACCCGTAGGTAATACTGAAACATTGGTAAAAGAAGGGAGAGATCTAGCAGACTCCTAAGTCTCCATCCCCTGGCCTCTGTGGGTGGTAGCTTAGTGATATCATGGTATATCAGAAAGGTGAACAAATAGAAAGAAAAAGAACTGCCTGGTCTTACAACCTGTACCAGGCTTAGTGTAAGAAGGTCTCTGGGTATGTCCTGTGTAGGACCGGTAGAGGACGCAGTGTCCCAGGTGTCTTGGGACACAATGTGAATGTGTGTATGTGATCGGTGTATGGCAGGGAGTGGGAGTGGCGGGGGCCCTCCCCATTGATGTTTGGTATCCTTTGGTGGTCAGGGGGTGTGGGGTCCCTGTTGTTTCCCCCTGATGGTGGCCTTAATTGCTGCAGTGCCAGGGTATTCGGTGTAATAATCGGCTGTGCCATACACTGGTTAAAGTGGCGTTGTGGAGTGGGGCGTGGTTTGGAGTGGGCACAGGCTTTTGCTTGTATACCTCTACACAGTCATTTATGCATACACAGATATTATAACTTGCATCCATATACTTTAATGTGGTTCCCCATCCCACCCTTTTCCCTTTCTCATTTTCCTTTCCCTTCTTTTTTTCCCCTTTTTTATTTATATAAAAAAAAAAAAAAAAAAAGGAATAAAGGAACGTATACCATGCTGTTCAACAATAATTGGTTACAATTACCCCTGGTGTTGTGTGTGTCATTCAGGTAGGACCGCTTTTTTGTCCAGCCCCTCTCCCTCCCTCTTGGTGGTTGTGTAATGGATCTTGGCCTGCTGTGGGGCTTTTCCCTACTATAATGGACCGGTATGGTTTGTCATTAGGGGTAGTTGTAGAGCACTGGCTGACCCTCGTGGTGAAAGTGAGCAAGTAGGCATTTGGATTTTCCGGTATGTGTCACCTGCGCTATCCTCTCATTTCTCCTGGTTTGGGGTAGGGGAGCTACTCGATGATGTGTAGCTTAGTGGTTGCCCCCTTTGTTCCCTGTTGAGGTGCGCCCCCTAGAGTTTAGCAATCTCGAACTTTAACCACTAAATGGTCTAACATATTAAACTGGCAGTTAACTGGCAATAGCTGGGAAAATGGATATATGTGAGAGTTCATCTTGCGGTGAGGATTAGTCCATCAGGATAAAGGACCAGATGAGTTTGTCCTCTGTGGCACCTTAATTGTATAAATTATAGAGTGCCAATGTCCATGTGTTCATGGAACTTTCGTTCTGGCGCCTGGTGTTGCTTGCAGCTGCCTCTTCTTAGAGTGAATTAGCTGAGGTGAAGGCTTCTCCCATAAGGGTGGCAGTGCTGATCGGGTTCTTGCTGTGGCACCTAGAGTTGCAACAGGAACTTCGGGCAGTTGCAGGCCCAGTGTTGCTGCGAAAGTAGTCATATTGGTGATGTCCTGGAGGACGTGGGTGGTATTTTCTTTGAGGACCAGAAGCTTGGAGGGGTGTCCTCATCTGTACGCCAGTCAGTGCGGTTGTGAGTGGCTTAAGGGCCCGGTGCTTGGCCAGAGTGATGGGTGACAGGTCTTAAAATAAAATATTAGCGTGAATGTATCAAATTTTGGCGGGCTTTTCCTCGTTGCCGCCATGATGGCCTCCTTGATGAAGTACTAATGCAAGCGCACTATTACATCTCTCGGTGTAGGTTGGTTAGGGTTGGGAGGTTTCAGGGCTCTATGGGCTCTGTCTATTACCAGCTCTTGTGGTGTCGTTTCTGGGAGGAAGGTGAGAAACACCTCCCGCAACGTGTAGAGAAGCATGTCACCAGTGACCGTTTCTGGCAGGCCTCTAATTCTGATGTTATTGTGTCTGGCCGGTTATTGAGATCTTCTATCCCATTTTCAAGCATATCCATGCGAGACCTCATCGCTTCCAGGGAAGCATCCTGTGTGGTGACCGCTTCCAGAAGGTCGTCTGCTCTCTGTTTCACCAGGCCTGTGCACTCTACCAGTTCGGCGATTTCTTCTTTAAGGCCCTGGAGCTGTTTTTCAAGCTGTGCCGCTGTGTGCTGCTTTACGTCTGCTGCTTCCTCGTGGAGTAAGTGTTGAAGGTGGCGCTTTGTCAGCAGTGCCGAGGCTAGGGCAGAGGCCTCACCGCGCTCATAGTCAGAGGAAGAATCCTCTGTCCTCTGTGCGGAAGATGGCGCCGGACCGAGAGGAGAACATCGAGGCCACCGATGGCGGTAGTCTTGCTCCTTGCAGTTTTCCCCCATGTGTGTTCGGGCTTAGGGGGTCCTTGCTCCATTTTTTTTTTTTGCTTATACCAAGTTCCAACATTGAAATATTATAACTGTCACTCTCCAGAGTAAACTAAGTCGGTAGCACAGTGACTAATACTTAATTTTGTAACTTAAATCTAGTTGTTTTTGCAGCTATGTGCCAGTGTAATACTTTTTACCTTTTTTGCTTGAATTAAATGCATTAATTTGAGCACCCAAATGAAGTAAAACATTTTGGTTTTATTACAGATGCTCACTAGTGATGTCGCGAACTTCCCGCGAACGGCTCGCCACGGTTCGCCACGAACCGTTCTCGGCGAGCTCCGGTCAGCTGACACATCCCGGCCAATCTCCAGCAAACCCTCCCTCCCAGACCCTCCCACCTCCTGGACAGCATCCATGTTGAAGCTGCCGGTTCGCGACATCTCTAATGCTCACACTAAAAAGGACTGCAAAAGAAATTAAAAAAAAAAAACTAAAAAAAAAACTGAAAGTGCAACATAAAATGAAATACCAGAAAATTTTACAATGGTTTATGACAGAACTATACTATCTAAAAGGGCCAGACAAGAGGCCAGCAAGTAAAGTATACGACGGCAAAAATTTAGAAAATGTCTAAAATAAACGCCAAAAGAGGAATATTTGGGGTGGTTGGAAGCCGAACTGAAATTCACACCTGTGGCACAAAAAGATAAAACACAATCGGAAGAGTAAAAAAGAAAAATGGGATGACTCCTAACAAAAGCTTGAGGTTCAATGCACAAAAACATATTTGAATGACT